TAGGGAAAGTGTCGTTAGTGAGACTCTATGTTGTGCGGTTTAAATTAATTAGATGATCGCAATGTGGACATATTTATGCATAATTGAGCTCCTTTTGTGCGATTGTACGTGCTTTTATTTAAAAGTACGAATAACTGTTGCTGCTTCATCAACTGCACAAGTTGGTAACCAAAAAAGTGGACGTTCTTTTTTTTATAACTTAATTGGGGAGAAAAATTTACATTCACATTTGTCGCTGGACGAAATCATGCGAGATAAAATATTTGCCTATTATTAATCTCAAAACGTGCCGATTGAAAATAACAAATGGGCAGGAGAGAATCACATTTTGTCATGAAATGGTCAGCACTCATTGGACTTGGCGATTGTCCCCGCCGCTAGTGACGGAGACCAGTGGCGCGTTGATTGGCAAAACTGGGACGTAAAGCAACAGTGGAAAAGCATGTAAATTGGATACGTTATGATTCTATACATCCGGTGAACACACACAAACTAGAATGAGAAGAAAAAAACATCACCGGCCTCCATTTACGATAATAAGGACATGTCCATATGCGTCGCCTAATGTGGGACAATTTGCAATGATGGTTAATGTGATATCAGCGTTAAACACACCTACCCAGATTGACACACCAACCATCATCATCATCAGACATGATCTATCCACTTTTGGATAAAGAACTCCCCAACCCATCCAATGACTGAGATGTAAAAATCCATTTAGCTCCTTCACAGAAGCTGATTTTGTCACTCCATCCTCACAGTGGACGTCCTGACGAGCACGTTCCTACCTTCCGTTAGTAGCCTCATCTGCCCGTCAACATCGCTCCCAGCGACGTGTCCGATACAATGTATGTTGAACTTCTTTCGCACTGTACGTCACCATCCGTGCTAATCAAAGGCGAGGGGGAAGGACAACAAACTAAACACAAAAAGCAATCCTGAAGAAATGAGTTTTCAATGTTGATTTAACAGTGCATAGTTCCAATGGCTTCCTAATATCGGAAGGAAGAGCGTTCCAGACGGCCGCAAAAGCACATCTGAAAGCGCGCGATGCGGTGACCGTATTTGTTCGATGGCTAGCCAAAAGCGCTGACCGGAGTTCGCGTGATGGTTTATGCTCCTTTGACGAGATCAGCGAGGTATTGTGGTTCGTTTGTGGCAAGCACTTTGTGCGTAATGAGTTACGACCTTATAATGTATTCGCTCGGCCAGCAGAAGCCAATGCAGCTCAGCAAGCACCGGACGGACATGGTCAGGTTTTGCAGTGCCCATCACGACACATGCCAAAGTAGTTTGTACACGCTGCAGCTTGGTAATGTTTTTTGACAAACGTCCCGTGAAGTAGTGAGTTGCAATAATCGAGCCTTGTCGATACAACACAAGCCCGCTTGCTATCATTTAATGGTTACGATGATGTCTCTAACTTGCGCGCCTTCTCTGATGCGTGAGTTGCTCTTTCTGTCTCTCAGTGTAATTCAAAGCATCCACCTCTCCCCCTGCTTCTTTCCGTAATTTTACGTTTTTGTAAAATTTTCTGCATCAAATTCCACATCAGGGAAAAAAATATATCGCTCCGGGCGTCACTCACGTGGCATCACAGATAAGCAGCTTATTAAACGCGTAAAACGATGATACAAATACTGTGAGGAATGCATGTAAAAGTGAGGGTTACTAAGACTGATGATACAGCAATGGAGACAAGCAAATGAGATTAAATGATAGTTGCTGAAAATATATACCGGAGAAGGCTTGCAATGCTGTGGAGATAATGGCCCCTAGCTCGCCCTTAAAGAAAATGTAACACAAAATCATTTGTGGGGAATATAAGCCACAAAATAAACGAGCAAGCAACGTGCATCTTCCCATATTTGTCTCCCCTCTCCTGTTGGACAAATGGGCTCCTGGAAGTGAATATTTTTCGGCCGAATTGGTTCAGTACAAGTAAACTCTGGATCACCTTTGACATGCAGTGTCTCATCAGCAGTCAAGCTTGGTTAAACCAATGCTATTGATCTACCAGATTACATTTTTTTGGCTGTGTGACCAAATGAAAGATAATATTTTTTTTCGACATCATGAGAGATATGGCAGGATGCGCATTGCCCGCTTAAGAAAGAATATGGATCAATACAACTGGAAACGAAACTCATGGATTAACTTTGAGGACAGATACTTAGACTGGCAGAGCATAATTAGATAAAACATTTAAATAAACGGCTTTTTACATACGGTTCTACAAAGATTTTGGGGTGGAACGGTGGTGCAGTGGTTAGCTGCATTGCGCTATCAAACCAGCGACATGGGTTTGGCTCCTGGCCAGGCCAACACCAGCGGCGAATGATATCTTAACCAGTTCTAGAAATTACTTTAAATCGCACTGACCAGCATGGCCAAGTATGGTCCAGCAACTCCCATTAACAGCCTTCATCCAGGCGGGGCTTTGCGCAAGAGCGCAGAAGTGTGGTCACCACATCTACGCCTCTATATAAAGAACGAAACAGGTGGACTTCTCCACAAATATGGCTGTCGCCTGATGAAGCTGGTTGTAATTACTGGCGAAACGTCGTACTCGGATTGTAAATGTTGTGGCTTGGCTCTCCAACACACCGGTGATGCTGTACTAGCAACGAATTGACCACGTTCTGTTTACGTGATAACCCTTACTAGTTGGCTGTGTCGGGTGGTGGCGGGTTTTAACGACACTTTTATATATTTACGCGATCGAACCCAAAAAACCTCCATTATGGATGATATTGGTCGCGAAAGCCTACGTGTTAAACAGGTTTAAAACAATACACTTGAGACACATTTGGGATATATCTCGATGAACATCACAGTATTCTCTATTCTCTAACGGCTTGGAGCAATTCGGAAAGAAAAATTAGGTGAAAGTGTCTGTGACTCAAGTAGCTAAACTCAGACATGAATGAACAAAGAATGACCTCATCAGAAAACGCCTGACAAATATGCAACAAGAACAAGATAAGTTGCACTGTACAGGAATCCAATTGGCATCAAGTGAGTAATTTATTTTGAAATATGCCATGCACGTCTGATGAGGTTTAATTGATAACCTTTGTTGATTTGAGCAAAACATTTTACCAAGAATAGAGCCACTTCGTGGGAGCTGCAAGTCTAGTTCTCGGTATTCTAGTTGGCTATGTTTTAACAGTTCAAGCTTGTTGTACGCATTCACGATAGCTGTTCTAACACGCCCGTCTGTCACCTTAGTCTGTTGATGTGATGTTTAGATTTGTGTACAATTCATTTGTAATTTTATTATTTGTTGCGGTTGAACCCAAATCAAGAGCCAAATGGCCCACAGGGTAAATCCTAATAAATGAACTGAACTGAAGGCGCGATTAGGAGTTGGTAATATAGCTGCGAGTGCTTTACAACGGAAGAAAAATTTGCGTCGCCTTTTTCAGCTGTGAAAATATATAGAACTTTAAACCATAACCACAGAAATGACGACTCCTGCATAATGATTCATTAAAGCCTCCCTCAAACAGAACTCTAAACTGTAACAAAATAAAATATTAATTCATTTTAGCCACTAATACATATCATAGCATCAACAAATATGAGTCATGGATTAATACGAGTGCACTGTATGCGATAAACCGAATTCAAACTCGTTTTGCTGGCGGACGGCCACACAACACAGACTAAATAAGCAATTGCTCATCCTTCAGCAATTAAGACATTGTTTTGATATCGCACCCCAAGTATCCGCACGTACCAATGCTTTCTTGGCATTATTCACAACGCTTTTTTTTTTACTCCTGCGTAATTACCGCGTTCCAAGTCACTGATTGTAGATTTTTTTTTGCTTTTCTCTAGGCTGGCGGCTCCCCACGCGAAATTCCTGACATCGCGATCCGGTGCCACTTTCCCGATTGCGCCACTGCCCCCCCCTGTAAGCAATCGTAGTCGCCGGGAGAGGAAATGGCGACTAAAAATTGCCCCCAAGTAACGGATACGAGCCCGGCGCAATTTACTGTGAAGAGCACGCCAACGCGGCGCGTGATGATTGTTAAAAGGTGACGCTGTAACCCTCTAGGCTTAATGTCGCAAATTAGTAATTGTTTACATAAGCGGGCAGCACAGTGGTGACGTGTTGCAGCCTACGCAAATGTAACTTGCTACTGCACTTGTAGAAGAAGAACTCTCTGCGTATGACGCCATCGGCCTATTGGCTCTCCGCACCGATATTATTGAGCAGAAAAAATATTTTTTTTTTTATCCAAAAATCTCTGGACCGTTTTAAACCTTTTGGGCCTCATGAGGATTGGGTTTCGTCATCACGCAGTTTTACTCATGCGTGCGTATGACTCCAAATCTTGTTCAGTCCATCGGCCTATTATTGGCTCTCCACACTGATATTATCGAGCAGATTTTTTTTTCTTTATCCAGAAACCTCTGGACCGGTTTTAACCTTCTGGGTCTCATCAGACTTGGGTCTCATCAGGCTTGTTAAACAAATGCTGCGGGATTACCAAATGTTATTGGCAAGAGCACTCTGGACCATTTGCTTATCGGAGGCAGTTGAAGTGTTATTGACCGTTCAATAACAGAAATGCCACGTGGGGATATGAATCAGAAATCACACATTGTAAAGCTAACAACAGAGGCACAAACGATGCCCACTTATCAAATATGTGAGTAATTAAAACTACCACTTTCAAATATCCTTCATTTATTGTTGGTATTCTGACCTAACATGAACCCCCAGAATGGAATGCTTTGATGCATATGGCCAGTAACACACTACAAAATCATTAATTTCTTAGAGTTTAGCTAATGCCAATATACTGACGTCCTTTGTTGCGTGTGTTTAGTTCGTTGTCCTTCCCCCGCGCCTCTGATTCGCACGGTTGGCTACGTACAATGCGAACTAAGTTCAATATACATGCATGCAATGCTGAATTATCATGGAACTGTGCAGACAATTTGTCTTACACTGGCCACGTGTGCGGTGCCTCGTGTGCACTTACTGGAAAATATCTTTGCGAATAACGATCCTGGTGAGCGGGTTATCTGCCACAGGCGCCAGGCTGATGGATCCTATTTTCAACACAAGCGTGTCTTCCTTGGGAGCAGAGGTGCCTATGGAAAAATAGCAATTAGTTACGTTAGTAGAATTCCAAAATATGATATCGGTTAAGCCCAGTATTACATTGAAAAGGATAGGCCTATAGAAAACAATTTTACAGTCATCCTCACAGCGGCTTTTGGCTAACCATCGAACAAAGACGATCACCGCATCACGTGCTTTTAGATGCACTTCCGCCGCCATTTGGAATGCTCTTCCTAAATTAGGAATCCACTGGAGCTACGCACTTTCAAATCTAAATTGTAAACTCATTTCTTTAGAACTGCTTTTTGTCTTTAGTTTATCATCCTTCCCCCGCACCTCCGATCATCACGGTTGGCAATGTACGGCGCGAAAGAAGTTCAACAAACATGCATACGCACTTGTGGCCGGCTGCTGCTGCTGCTTGCCCTCGCTCTGCGGCACGAACACGCGAATGACGCTCGTGTTCAGGTAGAGCAGGGGGAGCCCGCGGGACGACAGCGCGTGCTGCTTCACGGGTTGCCCGACGGTGGAGCCCGCCGGCGCCGCTCGCTTGCCGGCGGCCGGAGATCGCCGGGCGGCTTCGCCGCCGCCCGCGTCCAGCAGCGACGCGACGGTGCGCAGCAGCGGGTAGTGCAGCACCAGGTCGAAGGCTGCAGGCTGACGAGCACCTCGTGCAGGTGCGAGGGCCCAGTGTCCGGAGCGTCGCCGCGGTGAAGGCTGCGCGACACGCGCTCCTGGCGCGACGAGATGCGCTGGCGCACGTTGCGCGTGAGCGCCCGCGTGTACGTGAGCGACAGGAAGCCGTGCTGCTGCTGCTGCTGCTGCTGCGAGGTCTCCAGCAGCTTGCCCGCCGTCTACGTCGAAAGGAAAAAGGAGAAAAAAATGGGTCAATGAGCCCAACGTCGCTTTATGCGTCCGTGTGCGTCCCGTTGCGTCTGTGTGCGTCCCGTTGCATCTGTGTGCGTCCCGTCCTGTCTGTGTGCGTCCCGTTGCGTCCGTGTGCGTCCCGTCGCTTCCGTGTGTGTCCCATCGCGTCTGTGTGTGTCACGTCCTGTCTGTGTGCATCCCGTCCTGTCTGTGTGCGTCCCGTTGCATCCGTGTGCATCCCATTGCGTCCATGTGTGTCCCATCGCGTCCGTGTGTGTCCCATCGCGTCTGTGTGTGTCCCATCGCGTCTGTGTGTGTCCCATCGCGTCTGTGTGTGTCCCGTCCTGTCCGTGTGCGTCCCGTCGCGTCCATGTGTCCCGTCGCGTCTGCAGCATTTTCACCACGACCAATATGAAGTCTGTACATGCGGAGGGAATTGGCGAATGCGGAACGGTGGACCGTATTGGGCGACGGGAATTGGCCATCGGAAAATCCCTTCTCATCTCTAAATATTTACGTGCCGAGAAGGGCAGCGAGGCCGAGAAGGGGTAGAAACCCCAAGGTGATAGTATCTAAGGAGCTCAACTAAAACTCGGTCAGTGTGGGTTGGTAAAGGAGGGGGCCCACAACCAGCTCTGATATTACTCGCCACTGACTGGTGCGCTGTCGTCAGCAATGAATGGGTTCATAGCGCAGTGCGCTGAACACTGTGCCACCACTCCTACCAGTATTACACAAGTGTCGTGACGCAAATCAGTAACTTATAGCCAGAAGACGGTTACCGTTAGTTTAATGAGTTATTGAAATGCAGTGCCTTGCTTGTGGTGGATTAATAAAAAAAAAATAGAAGCATAGATTACACTTGTGAACAAATAAATAGTGGCAAATATGCTGGCTGCTAAAGATGTCAGAAGTAATATTGTTAATAACTAGTAGCATTTCAACATTATAATTTTAAGTGTCTGATGAAAGACGAGTAGCTTAATTGTGTTTTTGTTGCAAATATGGACTAAAATTAAAATTACACTCGGTTGCTTACAAATGTTACCTGAACACAGATAACTCGCGATTATCCAGTACTATTGGGGTGGCCAAGATAAATTCAATTAAGAGAAGGGTGGACAAGATAAAACCAAAACATGGATTACGCAAAACGTCCATAAATTAGGCAATAAAAATACCGGTATTGTTTGCCTACTAGAAAGGGGGCAAAATGTCCCGGGTCACTGTCCCATAACGAGTGAGGAGCAGCTAGTAATTGGAGTAATCAAATCTGCCCTTGCAAATATATCGTATCAGCAACCCGGACCATGCTCCCCCCTCCGAAGGATAATCGAGAGTTCAGCGTGAACATGAATCTGTCTGCCTCTAAATCAAGCTGAAACTGCCCGCACCGTGCGTGCTCATTATTGGATGCGAACAATGAAATGCGGAAAAAGCCACCGCGGCCACCACGAGTAAGAACAACGACGAAACGAATCAAGAAGGTGCTTAGAGGCGGCAGATTTGGTCCCTTACGGAAGGAAAGAAGGCAGAGAGGTGGCTGAAGGGGTCTTGCCTGGAGAGCGGCCTCACCAGGAAAGTGCGTCTGTTCATCTTGTCAGTGCATGACAAGATCACCCCTCCCCGCCCACCCAGGCAAATGGGCCCTCCGGGCAGGCTGAGCGGCACGCGTAAGAGAGACAGACAGACGGACGGACGGACAGACGGACACAGACGGCGGGGCAGGCACAGGAACAGGTGAGAAACAGACCCCCCTCAAAAGGAGAGAAGCCTCGGAGCAATGGGATCACCGGCAATCACAAAGCGTGGATCGAGAGCCCCCAACACGGTCGGCGGGATTTTGTTACGATCACCCCCCCCACCACCACCACACCGCCCACCGATCGCGCTCGGGCACGGCGAGGCGTCGCCGCTCGCCCAGCGAACACCTGAAACCGGAGACGTTCGTCACGAGCGAGGGAGCGCGAGCGAACACCGCCAAGCGCAAGAGAAAAAAGGAAGGAATATCACAAGCAGCACCGGACGATTCTCCCCGAGCGATTTCCGTTGAGATTGGCTGAAATGTGAGGTTTTTTTACGGAAAAGCACCGGGGGGGGGGGGGGGGGGTGGGGGGGGGCAGACGCTGGCAAAGATGTTCGCAAAACCAGAGGAGCTGACGGCAACGGGCTCTCTTAAAAGCTGCGCGGCTTGTGAGCGATGAAGGTGGGTGCGGGGGGCGCATTTGGCAGATTCTGTAACAGGAGCCTGGCTCAGTAATGGTGATGGAAGGACAAATGAGCACACGTGCGGTTTGGCCCTACTGAGTACAACTTTGCCTCCCCTGTAAGCCACCCGCAAGCTAGGAAAACAACATACCACTGGGACTCAGCGGCTTCAACTTTGAAATGTTTAATTATTCATACGTAGGTGTTGTGTTACTATATTAATAGGACAATTGGTCATATAATTTACATGCTTTTTACCCTCCCCCCCCCTTCTTTTCAGTATCAGTAGCTCGGTATTTACATTTGTTTGCATCCGTTATTTAAATTAAAGCATTCATGTGGTATATTGTGTGTCCAAAACTTGTCTTCTGTACTCATTAATAATGATCATAGCATGGGAAATGAAAGACTATCTGCTTAAATTAACTGGTGACTTCATCTTTTTTAAACTTTCTTGGTTTATGGGTCATGAATTATGTGACCAAGGCTTCAGGAAAATGGCAATTTTCTCCAAATACTACACTGAGCCACCTTAATCATTTTTCCTCATTATTTATGCCTCTCCTCTCCCTAGGCTGTCTAATTGGCCTTCCTGTAATATTAATGGCATGTGCTTCTTGAAATCGAGCCAAGCACACAACGTTAGCATGCCTCCACACACACAGGCCAGCGAACAGACGCACATTCATGTACAAACACACGCACGCACACGGATCTGAATAGGCGGCCCTTGCAGGCTGCTGAGGAAAAACACTAGGAAGGAAAAACAGACCCCCAAAGGAAAATAAAAAGCAATCAGAAACAGTTTGCCGAGGGCTCCACTTTCTCATTCTCACCACTGGCTTGTCTTTACATAGCAGCAGAAGTCCATCAAAGTGTCCTTCCCTCCACAGTTCATCCGGCCTGGAAAAACGAAAATGTCATCCCGTACGCGGCCCCCCGGGCAAAAGCCATCGCCGTGAGTGAGCCCCAAGCAACCGAGGTATGGGGACAGGTGGGCCGTCACGTGCCCGCCAGCAGCTTCTCCGCGTGGAATCGACGCACGGGTGTGACAGTCGTCAGCGTCGCGTTAAACGAGCGCGGCACTTCACGCGTGCAGGTGTGCGCGCGTGTCCTCGCCTGCTTGAGCATGAACAAGTTTGTTTAAGCAAAGAAACTGTACGGTTGCCGTGTGTATTCATGCGTGAATTTACTGAAATGCAGAAGGGAATTTTTTTTCAATACAGGGGTTATTTTACACACACACACACACATATATACGTACATATTCCACGCAAATATTGCACGTTCCTATTCCAAATAATTTTACTCTGGACACATCTCCTTGCATAATGATGGGGGGAGGAGGAGGGGGGTTGGGGGGAGAAATCCAGACATGAATGTATGCCCAGTAAAACGTAAAGCAAGACTCCCAGGACTGAACAGCTGTCACGAGATGAAGCCAATTTGCCCTGAAAGCGAGGTTAATTGCCCCCCAAAAATTAAAGCCTCCTGGGGATGCATACATTTTTTTTTTATTATAACCAAAGGATGAAAAAAAAGAACCCTGCCTGCCCACAACGCCTGCTGACAACTTACACTCTCCAGCTAACGGGTGCGATTTATTTCGGGTCTCTCTCGGCGATACGAATTGCGCTGGAGCGTATGAGCGACACGACTTTAATGAATTGCTGAGACTCCGCCGTTGCCGTTCAGACGGCCGCGCGGCCGCATTGTTCTTCGGGCGCGCTTTCCGTCTGCTTCAGCTGACGACAAACGCCGCGGATGGATTTTTTTTTTTTACCGCCCCCCCCCCCTGCCGCCGCCGCCGCCGCCGCCCCCACCCGCCGATGGGTTTGGGATGTAACGCGAGGCTTCTAATCACGCTGCTTGTTAAGTAATGGGTGTCAAGGGGGTGCTGGATCCAGACGCAGCCACCCCCCCCACCGCACGCCCCCTCTTTAGTTGCGCACGGGAGATCCGGTTCCCCGGCATGTGTGAGGCGCAAGCCGCGGTCACAATTAACTTCTCAAGACAAGGGGTTTACCTTGCCACCCGTCGAACCTTCAGAAATTAAAATGACAAGCTAATTGTTTCGTGTCAAAAAATGCAAATGGTAAAAAAAAAAAATACGTGAAGTTTGATATTTCTTGCTCTTTTAGGAATTAGCGGGCCGTAGATTCTGTTACCTGTTTTGATTCCATGCGCGAAATATTTTAATTCAACGTGGGGGATGTGTCAAAATAGCTCATATGGCTTAGCAAAGAAAACATCAATATCCCATTCCTATCACGATTTCCTTTTCCTGACTTAATTATTTCACGTAAAATTTCACATTTTCGTACCCGAATGCCTTCCATGTGAAAGAAAGCCCACTGTGCAGCAACTAAATATTACTGCAATTATAATTTAAACGTTCTGGCAACAGCACCAAATATAACTTCACCGTTTAACCGTCTATCCTGCTCTGACCCACATCTTCCTGTTGTACGTGCTGTGGATCAACTTACACGTCAGCCATTTTACAAGTTTGAATAAGTTACATTTTACGCATTATCAGGAACAGTAACAACAAAGGCCTATGGCAATACGGACCATTTTGTTGTCATAAGGTCTGTTCACATTTACAGCCCTTTTCACGATGATAGCTTTAATTCAGGAGTCACATTTGGCCAACTGTAAGACCCCCCTGAATGGCTTTCCGCAAATTCTGAAAACTCATTCAGTGAGACAATCCGCATGTTAACTTCTGGCATGTATGCGAAAATCTTAAAATGAGTCCATCATCCGTACGTAATATTGCATCAATTAAACACACATATCTTCTCGACTATATTTAAGATTGGCTCTCTATAAACCTTAACATTTCCTGAAGGCCAATCGGCTGAAACAACTAAATCTTGTTTTACTGTCAGAGACAGAAACACCAAACCGTGTTTTAATTCACGACAGCCTTTGTCAATTCACTGCTGGATGAAGGACTCTCCATGCCTGATGATCACTGAAGCTGTTTGACCGCACTTCATCACAATGGTCAGTGCAGTTTGGTGAACAGGGCGGGAGGGGGGGGGAGCAGAACTGGCCCACGCATCACTCGTCACTGACGTTAGCCGTGACCACGAATCGAACTTAGGTCACCAGACTCAGCGCAGTGCACGGTTCAAGGCGCCACCACTTCTCGCCCTATTAACCCTTTCCCGTTCAGAGACATCTGCAAGTTGCAGGGTGGGTCTCGTTCACCGCTGAGCCTCGGGACTCATAAATGGTTAGGATTTTATTTAGAGAGGCATATCACCGTTTTTTTAGAGACATTGTACTCACCGCAGAGAACTGTCGCGACACTGACCGCACTCTATGATAGCGGGCACCAAACTGTGCAACGCACCCTCCCGCATGGCATTGTGGGAGCCATGGTACCAATAATGTTTTATTATGGAAACGGAAGAAAAACTGACGACGTGGCCGTACGTCATCGGAATGGGAAAGGGTTAACTTACGTTCATCCACAGTTTCGGCACAAACGCAGCGCACGGAGGAGCATTAAGTTCAAGGCACAGCACCCACCTTTGGCGAAAGTGGTCTACGTTGAAGTTTCCGATCTTGCACTTCACCTTGGTGTAGATGTCCTGAATGTCCACGGAGGCGCTGAGCTCCTCAAGCTCGCCAACCACACAGAGCTCTGTGAACGCGCACATGGCAGGGCAACCGTACCCCTCACACACGGAGCAACGCAGCTCACCACCCCCTTCGGCGCACGATGGCCAGCGAAAGGCACGGGCTCAGCATTGCGTGCCTCGACCCGCACGTATCCTCCAAAGTACGACAAATTTAAGCGCCATAGCGTGAAACACGTTTTTAAAGTTGGCCGTAAAATCCGGAGACTCTCTGTTGCTTTCAAAAATTGCATGTGAATGTCAACGTCCTGCGACTTTCCAAAGGCTTCTCTCATATGCTGACCACGGGGGCACAGAAATGTGCGTCGCATTTTACAGAGCATTGTTTAACAATAAAAAGTCCAAACTCGTGTGAAAAGCATTGATGTTGCGAGTCTGCCGAGACAATGGAATGAATCTGTACATTTAATTGTTTAAATGCCTCTTAGATTAAGTAGCTAAATTCAATGCACGTGCTTGTGTGACTGCGTAATGTCTCAAATTGTGTTTGTTTTCCTTTGCTCCCATTGAAATATTGCTTTTTACGTTTTTTAATTTCCTTCACAGGGATTTAAGAAAGCGGCGGCGATGCTTGCGAAATGTTAATTTATTTATCTAATTCAAAAACATTTTTTCGCCAGGATGCACGGCTGAGACGTCACTCTCAATTTGCGTCGAAGCTTCGGAGCGGCACGGGCGGAGTGAGCCCGGACGTATCGAGCAATTCTTAGGAGCCCAACAACTCCCTGCATTCAAACGCAATCACGTGACACCCCCCCCCCCCCACCGTCCCCTCACCCGCTCAGGGCTGTGCACAGGACACAGAATTTCGGAGCTCGCAGTCCTTCCGTGGGGATGTTAAACCGTCCGCCCCGCGCCCTAGCAAACCCCAGCCCTTTCCGAGACACCCTTCTCAAGGGTCAGTAGTGGTGTTCCATTATGGAAGCCAAATTAACCACGTGTTGTAAATCACAATCACACATACACGAAGCGGGGTGGGGTGGGGGGAGGGGGAAGAAAAAAACAGCACACGCACGACCTCCTTTTCTCAAGTAAGCTTATTCGCTAAACAGAGCCATGCCGCACCATGACATTTAATGCCTGCGTTGGTGCGCTCAATTAAGCGCTGCGCTTGGGGAGCGTGCGCCTCGGTCCCAGGCCTGCCCTTGTTTGCGTTCTCGTTGCGGATTCAGGAATTACAAATCGTCAATCGACGCGAACAGACATCACGCTCACATTACGGCCCACACACTACTTCTGCATGGAAATCCAAGGCATATTCGGAAAAATCTCTGACCGGCCTTCAGTTTGCATTGTCGGTATCCATTTCGTTTTTAGTTTTTGTTCTTTTACAAAAGGAAAAGGTGCAGCCGTGCAATGTTCTTGCTCGCACCACTGTTGGCGGGGAGCCTCAACGTGAAGGAACTCTAGAGAGTGCCTCTAGAGGGTATTTGGCCTCTTCTTCCACATTGGCAAGGCTTTTTGGAATAGATGTGAGTACCCAAAACTTTAGCCCAACATACACGGAGTGCCAATCGGCGAACTCCGGTGAACCCACTTACACTTTCGGGTGAACAGAGACGGGGAAGATGTAAAAGACTTGACCACTGCTTCAACGGCCGCACCAGGAGGTCGAACCCGCGACCCCTGCATCGCGAGTCTGGTGTGCTAACCATCGCACCGGAGAGCAGCATCGCTTATTTTCTTAGAACCCTCTTTAGAACGTATTAATTCCCCGCCGTATTATTTCTGGCTCGGCTCAGTCCTCGTTGCGTTAGCCGGCGTGTGCTTAGGTGCAAGCGTGCGTGCGTGCGTGCGTGCGCGCGTGCCGCGAGGACGGTGTCTGTACCGGCGGCGGCCGCGCCGTCCATGCCGTCGCGCTCATTGGCAAAGAGCCGCACGGTGAGCTTGGGGAGCATGCACTGCAGCCACACGCTGGCGCGGCTCCCACTGCCGCCCATGTGGCTGGTCTTCTGCTCCAGCGTGTCTGTGCCGCCAAACGCCGCGTCCTCGCCCGTCTGAGTGGTGTCGCCCTGCGCGGGGCAGCAGTCGCACGTGTGAACGTGTGTACGTTGAACTTCTTTCGCGCCGTACATAGACGACCGTTGCTCATCGGAGGTGCGCAGGGGGAAGGACACCAAAACAGATACAAAAAGCAGTTCGAAAGAAATTCGTTTTCAATGTTGATTTTAAAGTGCATAGCTCCAATGGCTGCCTAATATGAGAAGGAAGAGCGTTTCAGACGGCCGCAGAAGCGCACCTGAAAGCGTGCGATGCGGTGACCGTCTTACTTAGATGGTTAGCCAAAAGCTGCTGCTTCAAGCATGACAGAGTTCAAAAGAAATTAGTTTTCTGCCCGTCACTCACGAAGTGGGGAACAAGGCACGGTGGACAGCGAAGGAGGTGGGAGGCGTAAATATTCTGGATCCTTTCGAGTAAACGATTTGCCGCATTTTCAGTGTGACGATTTGATACAAGAATCAGTTTTAGTTTTTTTACCTTGTGGTTGAAAGGAAAAGTATTCGGTGGCTGGAGGGAGTCACGCAAGGCCATCATGATAAAATGCAAAATATACGGATTTAAAGGCATCGATTCTGACCATCGGGAAGGCTAAGAATTGATTGATAACTTGATGCATCGTGACACCACCGTTACACCACCGTTACCTCTCCATTGTCAACAGAAAATGAGAAAGCTTGCTATGGGAAATGACTTTTGGAATCTGGTCATGATGAAAAGATTCGTACATAGTATATTATAAGGCAAGCAAGGAAGCATCTATTCATTGTTTAAAATCGATTCATAAACCGCGATACAAGCACTGGACCGTGCACACAAGACTCTATTATTTCTGATTTAGGTTAATGATAATCTCAGGGTAAATTTAGTTTAACCTTATGTTACAATTCGGCCAAGAGAACGAATGAAACTTCAAAGACAGAACGATGCGATGAACATTACAGACGAGGCGGTAACAAATGAGACAAAAACAGAAAAGGCTCAATTATACCGAATCAAATTATAATGAATAAAATTACATTCCTTAATCGTCAAAACATTTCATCGAATCGTGGGTAGGAAAGGGTGGGGGAGGGTTCAATATTTCGTGGGAACTTGTTTTTTTAAATTATTAAATAGTTAACCATAGACATTACAAATACCAAAAAAAAGTTGACAAGCCACGTGTGTGTGTGTAACACACACTCGTGGCTTGTTAGTTGCTTATCTACATTTGAATCTTTCGTGACTGCAAGGATTCATATTCTTAGGTTTTTTCGGTAAAGTCACGTAGGTAATTTAATTTTTTTACCTACGTGACTTTACCGAAAAAACCTAAGAATATGAATAAGATGCTTATCTGTTTCTAGAAGCGCCCAACAGTGGGGAATGGTCACTCTCTCACCCCCAATGTGCAAACTCCCGGGGGGCTCTAAGCAGGGTGGGGGGGGGGGGGGACAAGGTGTGCGCTAAAGTCGCTGGGGAAAAAAAAACCTTGATCCGTAAACGTCCCCAGCTTGGATGACTTGACAGCAGTTAACGAGAGCGGAGGGAGGGGAGGGGGGCGACCGCACGTTTGGCAACCATGGTCTGATCACAACAAAGTGTGCGGAGCATGGGAAACAAGTTATTTTTTTTTCGCAATGGGAGTTAACCTCGCATGCAAGACACGCTTGCCCGAGCACAACCCCCTTGGACAAAACCAGCCTGACATCACCAGCCCGAAGCGCTAAAGCGCCGAGCCATCGCGAGGGGGCTGACATGCGAGCCTGGGTCATGCGGTTTGTGCGGTCGTCTCACTTGGCAGCAATGCAAATTTGTGAGTACACAATCATAAACAACACTCGCAACGCTTGGCGTTGCCACCAATGAAGGACGGTAAGCGCCAGAGGTCGCAACCGGGTACCCGATACCCGTACCCTACCCGATACCCGGCTACCCGTACCCGGCTGGGTACGGGTACGGGTACCCGTTTGCGACCCTGGTGCGGCCGGGTACGGGTAGACCGTGAGTCACTGGTGAGTAACTGTTTGTCACTCATTTCCCAACGTCTTGTCTCTTCTCACAATTAAAGTTCCTAGAATCAACCCACCCGCGCCTGCAACATGGATTCATCCCAGAGGTCGCAATCAGGTACCCGATACCTGTACCATACCTTTACCCGGCCGGGTACGGGGAGGGTACGGATAACCGTTTGCGACCCTGGTGCGGCCGGGTACGGGTACGGGTAGGAATCAAAACCCGTTTGCGACCTCTGGTAAGCGCTATCAATACTCTTTGGTTGTTTTGGTACAGTCACGTAGGTTAAAAAAGAAAACAATTAAATTAAATCACGACATTTCGGAGGCAACACAAGCTTCCGTCTTCAGGTGGAACCGTCACAGCAAAATTTCTGTATCGAGTGAAGAGAGCTCTAGGGGACGCGACCTTATATACTAGAATTAAGCGCTATCAAGTTGTAATAACGATACAGGGCCCTATACGCGTCGGATTCCTTCCCGCCTGTCAGCTGTGTACATGAGCTAAAATGTTTCTGTTTTCGGTTCATGGCCAGCATCGTTGGTGGTCTTTACCGAGACCCAAAAGCCAACAATTTATCATGAAAAAATTAATTCAATGTTTCAATTTGACAACTACACATTCTGATAAACGGTGAAGTCATACATTTGAAAAAAATTATATGTTTTAGGTTGAATACAAACCAAAAAAATATTGCTGACTTTCATTTGTTGGAGATATGGAGCCAAACTTTGGCTGACCACCGGCTTTTGGAATCATGTGTTTAACATTGATCCTCCAATGATTAAGGAAACATTGACAACACTCTTTACCTCAAGCAGCTGTGGCTACGTTGCCCAATCAAACGCAAAGCAGCTTTTTACAATCACACATTTGGTGATCACACACTGAAGTCAGAACCCTGGCGCACGAGGCCTATTTCCCGAAATGGGTACGGAGACAGAAAAGCGATGCTCGGCAGAGGGATTCTAGAGTCTACACGCACTTTCGTTCTTGATATTTAGAAAAATATCACACTTAGAAATCAAACAAAATCTAAATTGACAGCCAACTTCAGAGGGTTCATACTCTTAGGTTTTTTCGGTAAAGTCACGTAGGTAAAAAATAAATAATAAAAATAATAGAAATAAAATAATAAATCACGACGTTTCGGAGGCAACACAAGTCTCCGTCATCAGGTGGGGCCGTCACAGCTAAATTTACTGTATCAAGTAAATTTAGCTGATACAGTAAATTTAGCTGTGATGGTCCCACCTGATGACGGAGACTTGTGTTGCCTCCGAAACGTCGTGATTTATTATTTTATTTCTATTATTATTTCTATTATTTTTATCATTTATTTTTCTTTTTTACCTACGTGACTTTACCGAAAAAACCTAAGAGTATGAATCATTGCAGTCACGAAAGCTTCAAATCTAGAACTTCAGAGGGGTCGACATCCTCACTTTTAGTTTAGGAGGCCATCACAAGATGACCAGGGGAGCGGTGGCGCAGCAGTTAACGCAGGGTGCTAGGAGCCCGGGAACTTGCGTTTGATTCCATTGCCTTGGCCAACATCGGTGGCGAGTGAAGCCTCAATGTGTCCCTGCACTCACTAAGGTGACGGCGAAGTGAGAACAAGCAACCAACCCGCTGTAGTCGAAACACCATAGGGAGGCCTCTATCCAGCAGGAGTGTGACGAAGGGCTGTACGTTCCCACGTGACGTAATGCAACAAAGCGCGTTGATTTACGGCTCCGTGTGGCAAAACAAATCTGGCCTGCGTGGCGCAAGATTAGAGCGCCGTTGCATGCCATCGGAATGTTGCAAGTCAAAATTAAGGTCAGGGGTCAATTCAGCTCTTCATCCGCCCGGGATCGATCAAACGAGGTACCACTTTGGTGGGGGTGGCGGGGGGGGGGGGGAATGTCACAATTGTTGTTCTATGGAAAGACTCGGCCTTGCCACAGGAATGTGGGATTTTCACTTTTGGCTCAGGGCTGTGAACGGGACATGGGTGCCGTCCCTTGCTCGATTGAGCGAGGGGGACATATTTTTGGAAGAAAAAAAAACCCCATACAAAGGAATGTTAATTTTCTTGGGTTTTTTCGGTAAAGTCACGTAGGGAAAAAAATAAAATAAAAATTAATAAAAGTAAAAGTAAATTTTATTTTAATTTTACTTTTATTAATTTTAATTTTTTATCTACGTGACTTTACCGAAAAAAACCCAAGAATATGAATCCTTGCAGTCACGAAAGCTTCAAATCTAAAGGAATGTTCCTATGTACAAAAGTCCATTGCCTAAACTCTGATAGATATGCTGTAAATGTGTTGCAAATGTCGCTTTATCTATGGTGGCATGGCTGCTGTGAGTGTAGTCAAATTCAGAGCCAGACAGTGACAGGAAGGCCCTTACACGAGTGCTAATGCAATTCCGGTGATTCCGATGCTCTATTTAAATAAGCTAACCGAGTTACCGGCAAATTGCTTGAGAAAGTGCAATTTGCGGGCATTCTACCAACAAAGAAAGTAGCTGAAACTTTGAACTTCCAAAAATTAAATTACCTCGGTCCAAAGCGCATTGGTGGTCTCAGTGCACTTTCGTGTTTATAAGATTACGTGTGGCAACACATTTTCTAATTTAAATCAATTACATTACGCTTTGTAGAAACTAATTAAGAGTTCTAAACTGAAAGCCCATTACGTTTTGAACGGCATGTGCGAAATTAAATAGTCAAGTCTATTTCACATGATCCAGCGTCTTCACGTTATCTCAAAAGCTGTGGGGGAAAAATGGCCGAGGAATGAATCAAACATTTGAGAAGGAAACTGGGCACTATTTGGACACACATGTATGATGGACAACAACAGGGAAATTAAAAGTGTGTTTGTTGTTCGGGGAAAAAAATGGAAGGAACTGGAAAGAGGCTTGGTGACGACGCAAGAGATTGGTGCCAGAAAGATGTGGCAATACTTGAGCATATTGGCACAAGGCAGAGGAAAGTGGAAAGAAATCACGAAATGTGCAGTGGGCACCTACGGGCTGTCTGTTTGTATGTGTGCACGTTGAACTTCTTTCGCAACATTAACCACTTTTCAATTTAGTTTGTTGTCCTTCCCCCACACCTCCAAACAGCACGGTTGGCTAGTACGGTGCGAAAGAAGTTCAACATCTCCACCATTGGAACCTCATTTGCCAGTAAAAAATATGATAATTGGTTTATAACCCTTCTATCTGGCAACAAAACTGACACCTTTTTTACGAGGAGTCATGTTTGCATAGACCACAATACCTGCAGCCATAATGCAAACAAAAAACACAACTCTGATAATATAAGCACTGTCCTTGAAGTTGATTTGTCTTTGAGCTGTGGTGAATTGTCTTTGAGTTGTGCGCCTTTTGGCATCATCTGGTCCAACACAATGCGAGACTAGGCTCTAAGAAAAGCTGTCTCGGGTGTGGACCAATCAACTTCAAGGACAGTGCTTATATTATCAGAGTTGTGTTTTTTGTTTGCATTATGACTGCAGGTATTGTGGTCTATGCAAACATGACTCCTCGTAAAAAAAGTGTCAGTTTTGTTGCCAGATAGAAGGGTAAATAACCAATTATCAAGTTCAACATCTATATTTGATGACGACGACGACGATGACGACGGCCGCTTTCACCTCGGTGGTCGTGCAGACGTCCGCCGAGGGGCTGCAGGAGCTGGCATCGCCCTGCGCGTTGCTGACGCTGCTGCGGATGGGCGAGCCCGGCGCCAGCTGCGTGGCGGCCACGTCGGGCGACAAGGAGCTGCGCCGAAGCAGCACCGCCTCCCTCCGCTGCAGCCGGCGTGCCGTCCTCCCCATGAGGTCGCTCAGCTCCCACAGGAGCCGCAGCTGTGGGCCAGAACCGCGTTCGCAAGGCGGACGAGCGGCGGGTTTTGACAAAACGTCGATCGCACCTCCGAAATAGCAACGTTGGCTACGTACGGCGCACAGAAGTTCAACATACGTGCATCACAGAGGGAAGCGCCACAACACGAAGTTAAACTGTGTTGCAAGTTTCGATTTAAAGCTTTCGTGACTGCTGGGATTCATCTTCTTGGTTCTTTCGGTAAAGTCACGTAGAAGGGAAATAATAAAATAATAAAACATAATAAAATAATTCTCACTTATTTAATTATGTTTTATTTTTATTATTTTATGATTTCCCTTCTACGTGACTTTACCGAAAGAACCAAGAAGATGTATTGCAAGTGTTTTAGAGATAGCCCACTTCATTCCAAAACTTCTAGACACTTCGAGGCAAACCTCCATTTAAGTGTGAAATATATGAGCTCTCCTAATTGTATTGATATGCTGCTATTGCTTTTCACAAACCTGTCGGGAAGAACCCACTGAGAAGTAAGGAGGTCATTAGCTGTGCATGGATCACCCTGTACTTGTATATACGTAAAAAATGCGTTTAAACCAATTCATAATGGGCTGTTGCGAATCGCTGATTTTAATAGTAGTATATGTTTTGGTGAGCGGTGGAACATTGGGTTAGTGCACTGCTCGATGGGCCTGGCGACCCATCAGTTTATAGCCACGGCTAACATCAGTGGCGAGTGACAGCTGAACCGATCCTGGGTCATCGATTCCCCTTTCACCAACCCACACCAAACAGCAAGGTGAAGTATGGTCCAACAATCCCGAAGACCGACACAGCATCGGGGGGCCTTGATCCAGCAGTGGATTGAAAAAAGGGGGTGGGGGGAGAGGGCTTTCAAGTCTGTAACATCGTTTTTTAGACGTCCCGGTAGCATTCTGAAATGCGACGCAGAAGTTAGTCATTTAACCTCCATTTATCACGTTCACACTGCAACTTGCGTTCCATTCCAAAACGCGAACGCGGTAGTTGTGTATTTAAGAAAAAAATGTTTTGTAGATGCAAGTTTGGGGGAAAAAATGCGAGCTGTTTAGTGCCAACAAGTCTGACTGAGGGTTGGTGCAATTTCATTTACAATTCATGCCACATTTAACCTTCCCCCGACCTAAAATCCAGTCTCCTGAGCCCTTTTAAAATTGCGGCCAAATGCAGGTTTTAAACACAGCGGCCAAATTCCAATATTTTTTATTGCACTTACAAAAATGTCAGGAAGAAAAAAAAAACCCACACAAGTCAGTATTATAATACAACCTGCATGAGAGTTTAACGTCCCCGGAATTATTAACAAATTCTAAAAGCTTACCGTTTTAATATGGTGCAAAGTGAAACGCAAAGCACATCATAGGAAACTATGCGCAGAAGAGTTAGGAGGCATGTTCTGCGCTGGCATGCGTTGTGAAAATTAAGTAGGCCACGTTTTAAACGGCTTAGCAGGCATTCGTCATGTACTTCAACATGGGTGGTTCTCTCCCTACATGTGTGACGAACGTAGCACCAATGCTTCCCCGGCACGAGGCGGCGACATCCAAAGGGGAGTGAGCTGGCGAGTGGAGGGTGAGCGCACCACGTGGTGCGACGGGACAATCTATCAAGCGAACGCATGCACGTTGAACTTCTTTCGCACCGTACGTAGCCAAGGTACGAGGGAAGGACAACGGTCTACGCGCAAAAAGCAGTACTAAAGAAATGAGCCTTCAATCTAGATTTAAAAGTGAATGGCTCCAGTCGCTTCAGAATTTCAGAAGGAAGAGCGTTCCAGATGGCCGCGGAAACGCATCTGAAAGCGCGCGATGTGGTGACCGTCCTTGTACGATGGTTAGCCAAAAGCCGCTGTGACGATGACCGGAGTCCGCATGATGGTTTATGCTCCTTGACAAAATCAGCGAGGTTTTGTGGTTCAATTGTGCCAAGCACTTTGTGCGTGATGAGTGCGACCTTATGATGTATCCGTTCGGCAAGTGGAAGCCAAACGGAAGCCAACGCAGCTCGTGACCGGACGGACACGGTCGGAGTGTAGTGAGACCGTGTTCCGGAAATAAATTGGCCAACAAAAAAATACATGGAATGTTTTTTTACAGAATGACCGACGTTTCAAAGCAGCTGACATTACAAATGATGGTGTGGCGAGCCAGACGTTTAGCGATAAATTGTAAAACAGCCACTGTGAAGACGGCGGCCTGGTTTACAAAACAGTCTGACATTCAAGTTGCATGTGTAATAAGGCAAATAGTTGTTTCCCCAATATTATTTCCATATGTATCGGTGTTTTGGATCAGTTTTATGAAAACGAATATAATTTAAATCTTGTTTTTCGAGTCGTTGACCGTGGTTTGGAATATTTAGACTTCTTTACAATGCTATTAAACTGCTCAATTATTGAACATTATTTATACTCAACTTGTGTAAAACTAATCTCGCATTATACACGCAGTACAGTACTTATTTGTGTATTACAAATAAATACATGATCAGGTGACCATGATGTTGGAGACCACAACTCACAATCGGAAAGATGAATGTTCAAATTACGGTCGGGTCTCAACTCTCCCATTGCTCTCGGGCCGATAAAATGTGTACCGCTCTGAGGGAAGTCACTGCGCATGAGAGGTTGTTACGTACCACCCCACATAATAATTGAAGGCCGAGTCAACCTAAAGGAGGCCAAAAACAAGTTCAGATACTACCTGCCACTCGAGTCAGCCTGAGGCTGGGAGTCAAATTCAAGTCGACAAGTTCACTGAACCACTGTGCCACCACAAGCGCACGCAGACACGCTCACACAAATATTTCCGTAGACCCTTAACAGACTGGAGGGGCAAGTGCGGTTAGGGGGCAGCACCTATGAAGGCCGGCACGGCACACGAGGCGGTGGGTAGCCAGCACCACGTCCGGCCGCCTTCGTCTCCCTAGTGGCGATGATGTTTACACACCACACCAGGTACTCATTTGAGGCTGAGTCGACCTAGGGGAGGCCCAGGACCAATTCAGATATTAAAACTCGGGTCGCCAGGGTTCGTAGAGCAGCTCCCTAACCTTTTAACAGACTGCTGGGGCAAGTGCCATTAGGAAGCACTCTCACACACACACGCACACACGCACGCTCATACACACGACCGAGACCGGACCTGCGCGCTGCAGGCTCGGACTTCCACGGGCAGCAGATCCACGTGGAGGCACACCACGTAGGCCTGGCCCTGCGCATCGCCCGGCTGCTTGTCGGAGGTGACGGCCAGCGTGGACGTGCAGCCCGCCGGCTCCAGCAGCGACAGAGCGGCGTGGGGCCCGGCGAGCAGCGTGTAGGCGCTCACGTCACTCAGGCTCACCGTCCACGGGAAGGCGTTGCCTGCGCGCCACACAGCGACAGGGCACAGGTAGGCGGTGGGAAGGGGGGGGGAGCAAGAGGGTCAGGCGACTCGATGAGATAGCCATCGCTGTTACCGTCAGCCATGTTCTATTCACTGCTAGATAAAAACATCCACCCCCCCAAGTCGTGGTCATCTCTCGCGTTGCCACGATGTGACAATCCGTCGAGCACCTGCATACGAGCTGATTTTTTTAAATCAACCATTTTTATTTTACCAGGTAAGGCCCACTGAGCTATGTAGCTCTTTAGCAGAAGCGACCTGGCCACAAATGATAGCTCAACGAAGTGGCTTATCGTGTGGACATTAACAGCTGCCAAGTACTCTAAACGCGCGTTGACTTTGAATGTGGACGGAAAAACCGGGGGACCCCGCAGAAAACCCCACATGACCAAGGGGAGAGAGACACGCAAACTCCAAATATACAGCAGCAGACGTCAGGGTCAGGGTCGTACCCGCGACCTCCTGTGTACCAGGCGAGGTAGTTAACATCTTGCCAAAGTGGTGTATGTCCCTCTCGGGCAAGTTGCCTCCTTTGACTGCCACTGATTGCTAAAGTTAACGTGTTTTTGTTATTCAAGTGCACGTTGCCACTATGACGTGTGGATCATATATATGCAAAATCGAGAGGAAACGTACAAGAAGTGCGCTCAGCAAACAAGAGATATCTTGCGGAGGGACACGACTGGAAAACACAGCAGAGCACGCGTACCGAGAAAGGGTAACGAAGGCGGCAGGGAAAAATATGGGTGAAGTGAACAGGTGAATGAGAGTGGATCAGAGAACTTTTGGAAAAGCTGAACTATTTGACGAAAGCCAACAAAAAACGATATTGCGAAAGAAGAGGTGTTTTAATCAGTGAAAATGTCCTGCTATGACGCACGGAGGAGAAACGCGGACAACGACAACAACAAACAAGGAACAAAAAGGCTGGAAAGTGCAACCAAGAAGCATGTAGCCATGTACGCTTGGAATTACATTGAGAGGCGGGAAGAGGTGACACCGCATTCGACGACAGACGGAAGGTAGCGAGGCATCAGGTTGAGTGTTAAGAAAGGCAAATCAGCTTGGCAGGCAGGTCACGCCACTCGAAGGAACGATAACTGGTGGTCGAGACTAACGCCTGAAATTTCGATTTAAAGCTTTAGTGACTGCAGGGATTCATCTTCTTGGTTCTTTCGGTAAAGTCACATAGAAGGGACGGCTGCTTGCGTTGTGGCCGAAACGTCGTGAGAATTATTTTATTATGTTTTATTTTTATTATTTTATTACTTCCCTTCTACGTGACTTTACCGAAAGAACCAAGAAGACTAACGCCTGAGTGATAGCTAGAGGAAGGAGGACATCCCTAGCTGACATCCACTAAGCAGGTGTGGTGGTGAAATCAGCTCGTGCGCAGGTCCTCGGTGGAACGCCACGTTGCAGGACCGTAAGAGTTGGCCATGGCTTGGGGATATTTTCATCTAGCAGTGGATAGATTGTGACAATGATTAATGAGCAGGGGCATGGACGGAAACATGGTTTAGAAATAAACGCGTGATTTTTCTCTGGGGCTATGTGAATGATCTGGTTTCTTGTACTCACTCACTCCGACAGGGCATGGAACGAATTGTGTCCCAAACTTGTGCGTGGAATTATATAACTACATTTGGGTTTTTGTTAAAATAATATTTTGATAATAAGTGTTTGTGGTAACACGAAGTTTTGACATGTGCTGATTTTATGGTTTTAAGAGATGCATATTAACAGAACAAATCGCTACATTATCATTATAATTACAGTATTGTTATTACACTGGAGTGTCACTTGTAGTCTTGGACAAAACTCAAAAGTGATCAGCAGAACACGATGCCTTTTCTATATGGAAATTATCTAATCACCACTTTAAAATGCCATCGTTAATAATCGTGAATTAAAAAATACACCGAAGCAGCTTGACCTTTTGGCCAGATGTACGACTTCTTTGACGCTTAAAAGCTATGACTTTTGCCAGCATTCAAAAGGAGCGTGACACATGAAGCATGAACACTGCAAACAAATAACAACCGGGCCAAGTGTAAAAAAAAAATCACCCAGAAGGGAAACCGTTTGGGTTATATTCCATTGTTGTCACAAACGAAAAGATTAATTCCTCTCTCTCTCTCTCTGGCTCCAAATTAATTGTGCACGGAGAAATGTTTCAAGCAATTTTTCTTGCCTGATTTCATAGCGCACTGTGCCAGCGTGCGAGGAGCCAAGCGGTCTAAACTATGGGGGGGGGGGGGGGGGGGAACCAATCAAATTGACAGGGAAAAAGCACCAATCGGGTGGCACCGTGACGCCGTGCCAAGCAAGGTGCTCACGTTTCTCAGGTCAGGAGCAACACGCACAAGAATTAATTTGAACTTTGCCCCACTGCTATCTGTCTCTGGCAAAACAATTGGCCGAGTCGGCCCGCGTTGGGAGATGTTGCGAACGTGTTTCCTTTCCCTTAAAAAAAAAAGAGTCTGATCCTCTCTGGTGACCACCCCTGGCTTGGAGCATTGACTATGATTAAGCATGCTCCCATGTTTCTAATTAGCTCGCATGTTAACCCAGAGTGGGGGCAGCGGGTGGGGGGGGGGAGAAAACAATTGAAGCGCATTGGTATTCTAAGAGCGTATCATTCTTACTGCCATGTAACTGCGTGACACAGCTGTGTGTGCAGGAACATGTGAACACAGAGCTCCAAGGTGGTTAGCCGATGCTCTGGGAATTGCCACCGGCAATCTAACACCGTTGCGGAAGTTCTCCACCTGCGAAATATTATTCAGAGACTCACTGCAATTGCGGCTGTCTTGACAATGATTTATGCCCTTTAAAAGTAGTTACCAAGTGATACTTATAATTGTGGGGTGTGAGTAATTTGTTTGCAGGGAAAAAAAAAAAATGTGCTCTTTTTTTTCTTCTTTCACGTGAACGCGTTTAAGTCGCTAAAAAATAAATATAGTAGAATTTCTAGGAACAAGATCATCATCTTACATCCTTACGAGCTACAACATCTGCTCGCAAAAATGTTGCTTTTTTTGGGGTCATATTTGTAAATTAATATTTTATTTCAAAGTCTCTGGGAAGTTCATGCCGAAGACAAAGCAGAATAAAAAAAGCACATCTTTCGCTCTGAGCCACGAACAGTTTCTTGAACAAATGATCGCTTAAACATCAAAGTCATTTGCCATTTTTTACAGAAATATCCATTCAACAACGCTAATTACATACAGGCAGTAGGCTCCAAAGCATAGAAAAAACACTGTACTCTCTGCCACAAAAAATACCTTTCAATTTCACTCTTTATTATTTTCACAATAAAATATTTGCCCTGTGCGTGAATTTCATACAACATGGTACAATTCGTTTTCCTCGATTATGAATCATTTTTAAAACAAGTCACGCACCGGCAAAGCACGATGCTGCGACTAAGCAGGTGGGCACGAGAGGAGGCATCTGGTGACAGCTTCTTTGACGCCAGTTCCTCAAACAGTGTATTTTGTATTTACACAGCAGTGTGTTGTAATGAAGACAAAAGAGAACCCGAGTTTATACTGTCAACACGGGCCACCCACAAAGAACATAGGAATTTAGGTGCCGGGTGATTTTTTTTTTTACTTTCGGGAGGAACGTTGCTGTGCTGCTGAAAGGGTGTGTCCTGTTTCCAGCATCGTTGTAAAAAGGTTCCTATTCGAGCCGCATAGAAGCTGGCGCTGTTAGCGAGCGCCTATTCACGCCGATACAGCGTAGAAGGCAGTAGTTGCTGCCAGCAGAGCCAAGTGGCTGCCTCGGCCTACTAATTTCTGACGGTAACAGACCGCGCGGCAAAATAGTCGACGTCAAGATTCCGATTGCCGCTGACGCGCATGGCCAGGAAATTATCGCAGGTCACCCGCGCCCCAGCAGAGTGCGCTAACAGCTCCCCAGAAAACTTCACGCGCAGACACGCATACACACAAACATGCAGATCTATACACAGATATCCATTCTTTAGGCTTACAGACTTGCTGTTATAGTGAGCACGTTTTAGCTGAGATAATCTATGACAGAGTGATGTGGCCAGCACCACGCCCAGCCACCTTTGTTTTCCCGGTGATGATGTTTTTTTCATACCGGACCGGGTACTTATTATTTTAAGGATACGACAATCTAGACAAAGTCCAAGATAAGTTCAGATATCACTCGCCACGAACATTAGGCTTGACCAAAAATGGAACGGAGGCAGCCGGATTGATAGCGGACCGCGCTTAACTACTGCCCCACCACCACTCCACCACCGACAAGCAAGGGCGACGCAGCCTTCACCACACCTGCGCATCCTTTATCTCCCCCGGTGTTGATGTTTATGACACAACTACACCGCAAGGGGTACTCACATTTAAGGCCGTGTCGAATCCATAAACACAACACACCACCACCGGACAACTCTCACCTTCCTGGTGAATTGGGCGCAAGGCGTCGAAGGGGATCTCTTGCAGCACCGCCGTGTGCTTGTGGCCGGCGCTGATGGCGCGTCCACGCGGCAGGCACACCACCAGGGTGCCGGGCATCGTGCGGGGCCCCAGGAACCACTCCCGCACCGCGCCGGGGATGGCGTTGGGCCCCGGCGCCGCTGACACGGACAGGTGGTCGCTCGGCACCGTGACACACCATGCCTCCAGGTCCACCTGCAGCGCCGCGGATGGCGAGATGTTAACTCCCTCCCCTGGTATGCAGGAGGTCGTGGGTTCGATCACGACCCTGACGATGCCTGTTGTATATTTGAAGTTTGCGTGTTTCTCTCTCCCTCTCCCCGTGGTCGTGTAGATTGTTCTCTGGTTTTTCCCTTCAAGTTTAGAAAATGTGTGTTCAGATTTTTTTTGCCCGCTACAAATTTCCAAATGATGAGCCACTTCTCGTTGAGCTATCATTTGTGATAGCCAGAGGACTTCTGAAAAAGGAGCGATATAGCTCAGTGGGCTTTACCTGGTCAAATAAAAAAAACATTGTTGAACAATAGTTTATGGCAGATGTCGCGCACGTACCCTGGCCCAAGCCAAAACTTTATTTCCCACGAGCGCAAACAAACAACAGCAGAACACCACGTGCAGTGTTGAATACTAGACGACAACCTGGAAAAGTCTACGACCCCAAATTAAGCGTCTGGTCTAATCGAGTCGGATTTCGGAAGCTAGGAAGGGGGGGGGGGGGGCGAGCCTGAATCGTGGTCGAATAGATAACTAGCATGCATAACAGGTTGCTATAGGTTGCGGGGCTACCCTATGTGCAGCAGAGGGCAGCGGAAGCAACATCCGTTGTACCGTACGTCTATGCTCCGACGCGTCGAGGCCTTTATCAAACCGTCCTGAGCAACAGCGCGGTAAAGTAGGGTCAAACAACCGCCATGATCCATATCGCGTGGGGAGGGACTCATTCAGCAGTGGATTGACAAAAAGGCTGTGACGTGTAAAGCAGTAAAATATACAGTATGCTCACATTGTAGGCAATTGCAGAACGTGGGTCATTTCCTGAAATGCTAGCTCAAATATATATTTTTCTCCTGTAAGGCAGTGTTAATGACAAATGGGTGTTTTTGTGTTTTTATACATTTAATCACCCGCCCTGAAACTCCCAAACTCGCTGGGTTGGGAGCTGGCCAAGGGCAATGCAGTGGAGCAAGTGGGTTCATGACCCACATGCACATACATTGAAGTGTTATCCCGTGGTATGCATGGTGGGTTTTCTCCAGGCACTCCGGTTTCCTCCGTCATTAAAGAGGAAACTGGCCAAATATCCTAACTAGGACCATATTGCAAAATAGGTTTCATCCTAAGCGAGGCTTTCTTCGATGAATAAAGGACATGCGTGTATTGATTTGGCTTGACCGAACTATCCTTTGCAATAACCTTACGGTTTCAAATGACGATGGAACTTGACGTGCGGAGATATTTATACGTTCCTTCTGCTACGGGATTATTGAACGTCATGTGAGTTTGTATATTGCGAGATTTTTTTTTTCCTGCAGTAAAATGTTTAATTTCTGGTGCCAACACGAAACGCATGAATGTTTAAATGTTTATTTTAAATAAATAAACGCAGTCGAAGCAAAGTGGAGATATTCCACTTTGCGATTCGCCATCGCCGTGCGGTTGAGGCACGAGGAGGAGGAGGGGGGGGGTAAAGGGGCTGGCGCAGCTGTACGTGTTAGCGTTGCGTTAATGTGCATCACGCTGAACAAACAGTTATTATTTTGTCCAATAAGTCATGTAAAACATATCGCTACACTCCCCAAAAACAACACGGCGAGCAGAAATTTGGAGGCCTTCTTGGAACGTTCGCCTCGTCCTGTTGTGACGCGTCGTTTTTAATAACGCTTAAATATGAAGCAACTAAAAAAAAATCGTATTAATAATATGAAAGGAAAGAAACAACAATTCCATAGAGCTCGAAGCCATTTGCTCAGTGTCAACAAGACCATCGTGGCGGGTTTTTTTTTTCTGTTGCTCCATGCGGCTTGAAGCGCCTGTCGCTTGGGGCATTCAGTCGCTCAAACGTCGCTCTGGCTCGGCAGGAGAACGAAGCAGCCAGAATTACGCCTTGGCCCAAAAGCAACGTTGGGCCCTTTGAGAAGGGGGATATGACTTTGTCGACAGCGTTGGGCTACTCTTGTCCACTACGCTGACCCCGGTGGCCTTAGATTGCTACGGAACGCCGTGGGGACATTCAACAGCTGCAAACGATATAACGAAAGCAACAATAATTGGTTTATTTGAATATCGGACGATTCTCCATGCGCTCCCCAAAAAAAGGACAATATCCGGTACTCGTGAGTTTCAATGAGGCAATCTTTGACAAAAATAGGAGTGCGTATGCCAGAATATCCTACGCTGTGAATCAAAAATGTAATAACAACAAGCCCCACAATGGTAATTGCTAAGCAATTGTAATTGTTAATGAGACAGTGGGGAGAAGTTGCTTTTTGTCCTCTCAGAGGAACACTGGGCTACTTTCATGATCTCCATACACATATTTGTAATCTCCATTGAGGATAACTGAAGTTCATCTAAGAATGACAACGAACTGATGCAATAATAGAAAGTAATACGTTAACGCTGCCTATTTCTTTATAAGCATACATTGTGAAAAGTTCCACGTTACTGGGCTTAAGCACAATGCAGTGCGAGACACCTCGGATGAGCACGGGCAGCAACGTACGCTGCGAAAGAAGTTCAACATACAAACGAAGTGAAATGCAGGGCGCATAAACTGCAGGTGAGTCCCCTACCGACGTGCTGCAGCTCAATGTGTGTGTACGTGTGTGACAAATGCGGGGTGAGAATCACCTCACTGTGTTCAATGCGGAAGCAGGATGTGCTACTAACCTGCAGGGTGAGCCTCTTGACCCCTTCCCAGAGCTTGCCGATCAAGCCCGTAACCCCGTCGTGCGCTGCCTCCCCTGCGCACACGGCCTCACGAGCGGGCGGCTTCGCCGGGCCAGGCAGCACACGCGACTCTGCCAAACAAAGATAAAGATCCCCCCCCCCCCGTGTAGCCTTAAGAGACTGTTGGGACAGCGAGCAGCACCTATGAAGGCCGTCAAGGCACACGAGGGGGTGGGTGGACAGCACCACGCACGGATGCCTTTGTCTCCGTGGCAGCGATGTTTACACACCGCACCAGGTACTCATTTGCGGCCGAGTCGACCGAAAGGAAGCCTGGGACCGGTTCAGATAATCGTCACAGGTGTTGGCCGTGAGCAGGAATCGAACTCGGAATCACCGGGTTCCTAGTGCAGCGCGCTAACCGCTCCCCTATACGCGGTACACGCCACTCGACGCACGTACCCACACACACAGGCAGAACACAGACACCTGGGTTATTTCTCAACTTCGCATAAATCGTTCCATCTGCCGAACGAATATCGGAGCACGGCGGTCGGACCACGCATCGCATGTCTGGTCGCAAAATTAATAAATCAATTAATTACGTATAACCGGGGCACGTGCTGCTGTGGGAATTGACGGCGGAGACGCGTGGGGAAGCTGTGGAAGCAATCCGGCTAAAGCGACGCCAGACTTCGGAGCAATGATGTGGACACGGCAGCGGGGAGTTGATCATTCAACCGCAGGCCAAAGTCATTTGGCTCGAACTACTGATACGCCGGGTGTTCTCGCGCATGTAAAAGTATCCGAATGTCATGAACCGAGCATAAGAAAACGGGCGTGCAGTCTGCTGCAGAGCTGCAGAGCGCTCACTCGGGCTGCGTGTACAATGGCAGGGGGTGGAATGGTGCATTGGTTCGTCAATTAATGTCAAGGCTCCCGCTCATGATAGACGCATCAAATTGCTTATGGAGGAACATATATATATAAATCTTGACTTAAAGCTTTCGTGACTGCAGGAATTCATATTCTTTCGGTAAAGTCACGTAGATAGGTTATTTGAACCTATCTACTTGACTTTACCGAAAGACCAAAAACACATTCCTGCGGAGGGAGCTGGTAGGAACGTTGGGTTGCTCGGTCAATGGCCGGGGTCAACGGCGGCGTGGTGTATTCCGCAAATATGGCCGACTGTGAGGGCGGGCACAAGCCGGCGTGAGTAGGTTAAATATTGAGTTTTATAAGGGCACCACGGGGTGACCAGCCCCTCCTCACCCAGCCCCTCCCCACCCTCCCCACCCAGCCCCTCCCCACCCTCCCCTCCCCACCCAGCCCTCCCCACCCAGCCCCTCCCTCCCCACACTCCCCAGCCCTCCCTCCCCTCCCCACCCAGCCCCTCCCTCCCCACCCAGCCCCTCCCTGCACTGACGGACACAATAATCCCCTGTGGGCTGGTGTAACCAGGAGGTTCCTACCAGTATAATAACATACATATTTGTTTAATTGGTGCATGTTTTATGTAATGGGTTCACGTCACCTCTGCATCCACGAGTCAGACGCACCGTCGTTAACCGCAATGTAAATTAAATAATTCATTTTGGATCGTGACGCTGAGTGGAGACAATTACTGTATTCTCAAAATTATGAAGACACACTTTTTATTTTTTAGCGCAATAATTTGGGAGTGTGTCGTTTTTTTATCCAGGAGGTGCGGGTGGGGTGTGTGACCAGGTTTGGATAACCATATGGACACCGGGCATAAGTTCTGCGTGCCTCTTACTATCTTATGAAGCTGGAGAAAACGGTCGTTGAATTTCCAAGGGAGCGCTGGGGTGGAGGCATCGATGTGTTTAAGGTCCCTATCTTAAAGCTTATCTGTTTGCAATTGCATATCGGTCCGTGTAGGCTACGTTCCTTTCACATTGTTTTTAAGTCTTTTTTTTTTACTCAGTTTAATCTATTAAGGGTTTTATTCGTCAAGGGTGAGGCCTTGGGTGAAGGGCGCTGTGAGTTTTAGTTGGTTAATCGTTCCACCTCTAGCACATGGGATTAACAACTGTGTGCGGCTTCCACACAACACAACACTCCACGAGTGATTTGTATCGCGATCCGTCACTTGGTGACTTCCCCTACACTCAGTGGTATCGGCACATGGAATATGGGAATGAAATGAAGGATGTGTTTAATTTGTATGCGTTCGTAACCAGAATAACACTGGTAGCTTTATTTGTGATTTTAAGCAGAGATACAAATGTAGCGGGATTGTACTTGACAACTTGCACGTTAGATAATAAACAGATAATAAAGTATAAATCCTGATAAGTGCATTTACGCAAATAATTTATATGTATCTCTTTAGTCTGCCCAGCAGCAGATCTTTAACTAAAACCTTTCACATCCTGTCCTATCTTGGGCCCTCCGTCTTCACATTATCATGATCATTATGCTCGGCATGTTTAAATGAATATTTAATTATATATAAATACACACTGCATATACATTTACAGGTTATTAAACTGCGTCGTTTCGGAACCAAGTTCACCTGCCGAATCAGTACCGGCCAGCAAAAGGACGTACATTTTTGCCATGTTATTTTCAACCGCCAATCAAGCCACAATGCTATGACCTCCGACTGAAAACATTAGCCAGCAGGCATATACCTGTCCGCGCAGGAACACGTGTCACATCTCTACCTGCCCGGCGACGATCAATAACACACCTGCGTGAGCTACGGCGCTAAAAAAACACGCGTCCTTGAGGAGCACTCAGCGACCGCGCCGCAGAAAATCCCGCGTTGTATAAATAAGCCGCTTCCTGTTGGCGCGAGAGAGAGAGGGAGCGCAGACTGTATACACGTCCTCGGGGACATTGCCGGAGTGTCACGCGTTGTGCGCCGGGCCCCTCGCCACTCGCCGTCCGCGGCGCGCACAACGCTCGCGGGAGTCTGCGGCACGGGGCGGCTCGAGTTACGATGCACTCTCAGGAACCACGCTGACGGTTGAGACGCAGACGTCCAGACGGATTGCTCGCGTGATGCCAGACACACACACACACACATACCGGGTTTAAAGCCGCACGTGTCGATAACCGACTTTGGGGTAGCGTGACCAAATCAAATGTTTGGCGCTACCCCCCGTTGGAAATTTGCGACAATCAAAATGGACACGGCGGCGGTGGATTATAATAGCTCGCACTAATAAGGTAGCACTCATTATACACAAAGTGCTTGCCACAAATTAACCTCGATACCTTGCTGAGCTCGTCAAGGAGCATAAACCATCAGGCAAACTCCGGTCATCCTCGCAGCGGCTTTTCGCTCACCGTCAAACAAAGACAGTCACAGCATCGCATGCTTTCAGATGCGCTTCTGCAAGCCGTCTGGAACGCTCTTCCATCCGATATTAGGAAGTCATTGGAGCGATCCACTTTTACGCCTAGATTGAAAACTAATTTCCTTAGAACTGCGTTTTGTGTTTAGTTTGTTGTCCTTCCCCCGCACCTCTGATTCGCACGGTTGGCTATGTACGGTGTGAAGGAAGTTCAACACACATACACACGGCATGGTAATGCCAGTAAATTATCCAGCAAGTCCTTATCGAATCTTAAGATTCGTTTCAGAAAGGGTCCTACTACATCGGGAAATGTGTTGATATTATCATTGTTACTTCTGTTTACCCGGGAAAGGCTCACCGAGTCTCAAGACTCTTGTTCAGGATGATCCTGCCAAGTTTTCGCAGTCGGGGTGATGTTGCAATGGGTAATCCCAATGCAGTAATGTGCAGGTTAAATGTTAAGCATTGTGATGTGTGGCCAATTTCTATTCCATTAAAGAGTGTTCCAGAGAATTAACAAATCAGTCGAGCCAAATATAAACACTAAATGTTGTAAAAGCCTCATTTAAGACTCAAAAATCTCTTTAAAAAGTATTCTGATTGGGATGCTTGACCGATGAACTTAATTAACGTTTGACCAATTCATGTTCATTTTTGCATATGGGAGGAACCCTGAGTAGCCAAAGAAGACCCTTGCTGGCAGAGTTGACACTCAACACAGCCATCTCATAGCCACCTCTCAGGCCCGTGCCTACAACGCCTGGCAAGCCCTGGGAGTTGCCTAGACAAGTGCTAACGAGGCTCAAGCCTGCTTAGCTTTCTGCGAACTGATGAGATCGGGCGGAGGGCGGGCGGGCGGGAAGTACGCACTGCCTAAAGAATCACACAAGATCAATGGCTCTATGGGAACCTCATTTGCCAGTAAAAATATGATAATTGGTTTTTTACCCTTCTATCTGGCAACAAAACTGACACCTTTTTACAAGGAGTCATGTTTGCATAGACCGCAATACCTGCAGTCATAATACAAACAAAAGACGTAACTCTGATAATGTGCACTGTTCTTGAAGTTGATTGGACCACACCCGAGACAGCTTTCCTTAGAGCCTAGTCTCACATGGGTTGGACCAGATGACGCCAAAAGGCGCAGATAGAAGGGTAAAAAAACAATTATCAAGATCAATGGCGTTTGCCATCTGATTTGGTCCAAGAAGTGGGTGCGGTAGTCATTAACATTTTCCAAAATTCATTTTGATAAATGTCATCACTGAAATGCAATCGCGCAGGGACGTTGACCTCTACGGTAATGCCATTCTAGGAAATGCACGTCTGAGAAAATCATTACAGCAGGTGGGTGGGTCGTTGCCTTTGCTCCACGTAAACTGTTAACAGAAGTTGATGTAGTGCAAGTGCGAAGCTTGTAACACAGTAGTGCAGTGTATTTCACGAATGCATTTTATTAACTTTTTCGGAGCAATTAAGTCCACGTTTTAAACTTGAACGCAGCATATCAAATTGCGCGTTAAATTATTATCACAACCGTGTAAAAACAAGCTACTTAGCAAAACGACCTTTTTGGCCTGTGCACGTTAAAATATCATAATAATCGCGTGCAGGATGTGACTATACATAATGCCAGATTAAGCATCTTGCCCACAAACCACAGTGGTGGGGTGGCGTTACACGCAGACAGGGCCATTATTCACAGTGAGAACTTTCGTTCGATCCGTCAGCTTGGGGCCTTGGTGTGCACGCAAACATGCATGGTTGCTGTCCGTGGTTTACAAAGGCATTGGTCC